AACAAGGTTTCACAACAAAGGCAGGATGAGAGAGTAGAGAGACCCTTCTCAGTCAAAAGCCAGGGAGAAAAAGCAGGATTAACCAAGAGCTCACACCCTTCCCCACAGCTCCCACTGCATTTTGGCCGAGTGCACTTTGCTAGCCCCACACCAGCCCTCTGCCCCAGCAGATAGGATCACTGCCACCTCCATGTGGTGCAGGTGTTTCTGAAAGCTACCTGGGCTTCACTGCAGCCTAGTTTGATCCCACATCCCTTATCCCCACTCCCTTGCTACCTACCAAACCTTCCTAAGGCAGCAAATCCTGCAGAACAGGCACGCATAACGAGAAGCGCTGACGAACGGAGCCAACTTTGAGAGCAGGCAAGAGCCAGCACTCCAGCTTGGGAAGACATACAGCTGAAGCTCTCCTCCAAAAGACAGAGGCAGCACAGAACTGGAAGAGAATGTTTCATGGCTAAGATCTAGCCCTGAGTAAAGAGAAGGAGGAGCTGATAATTACCCTCTCAGCCATCCCAAACAGTTTCCCCCCCCCCCCCCCCCCCCCCCACCAACAAAGAGCTGTGAGGCCCTGGCGGGTCCCAAATAGGTCTGAGAGATGCCAGCATCCAGGCAGGGGTCAAATATACTCTGCTGTAGCTGCAAGAGGTCAGACCCACACAGGCAGCAAAACTGACAGATTCCAGTAAAGCTACATAAAGGGACCGGGGCAGAGCCACAGTCTGGAGCTTCGCTCAGAGCTGTATTAAAATGCATGAGCTGCGCTAGCCCTAATGATGAGCAGAGCTGTCAACAAGGAGCTTGTCCCAGCTAATTATCTCCAACAAGGGCAGAGTGTCAGGATCCCTGAGGAGCTGGGCAGCAGCTTCCCATTCAGCTCAGCTGCAGAAGAGCGAGAAGGTAACCAAATGTCATTGCATTGGCCCAGTTAAAAATCATTAATTAGGCAAATGTGACCTTCTGTGCAAGTTTGCTCTTGGGAACCTTGACTTGCCAGAGCTGGGACAGGCAGGCAGGCAGCACCCCAGCTTTTGCCATCTAGCTCCTCTCCTACAGTGCTGAGCCTCCGGCACCCATGTTCTGGGGACAGTATGGTCCCAGTCTGGCAGCCCCAGCAAGCTATCACTGCCAGTTAGGCGCTGTCCCACACTCCTCTGTTGGCTCATATATTTCTTGCCGGGGCTCTATCCTGCTCCCAGACCAGACAGCTACAGAGAAGTCTCCGGTTCTTCATGAAATGCCACCATGTAGGTCATTTCCCCCTCTACCTCCTCCCCAGCACCTAACACTGACCTACAGCAGCTCTGTGCCCACCCAGCAATTGCTCTCTGCAGCACACCCCTCTCAGATCTTTAAGGCAGAACACATGCTAAGAACTTCTGCTCCCCTGCAGTCCTACGCTTCACTGCAGAGGACCAGCCACACGCTGCTCTACGAGCTCACGTCCTCTCTCATCACAGATATTGTGGCTCAAAAACCAAGATGGTACTTTCAGCCTTCTGTGCTGAAGAGGGGGAGCACGTCTCATCCCAGGACACTGTTAAGAAGTCTCTTTTGGGAGCCAGCAGCAGTCCAGAGAGAGAAGGCTTATACAAGATACATCCTGCAAGTTCTGCGCTCTTCCCCCTGACCCTGCAGCTGAAGGGAAAGGGAGGACAGCCTGCTTTTCCTCCACCCTGAAACCCACTGAAGGGAGGGCCACAGAGCTTTACAGAGGATGCCAGAGAGATGCACAGTGCTGTTCACCAGCATGTAATTACAGTAAGTGCTCTTTGAGCTCTTCGGTCCCTTGTTGTCAGACAGGAGCAAAGGCTTGAACGCCCATTTCAGTTAAACTTTTAGCAATACAAAGTTTAAAAATTATGAACTTGAAACAAACAGAACTGGAACCCGAGGGGTTAGAGGGAGCAGTACAGCAGGCTGCAGCTGTGACTGGGGAGCTCAGCCCCACCTGCTGGCAGGCACCTGCTTGTGGCACGCAGTTTGGGGCTGTGCTTTCAAGGCACAACCACCTCTCTTCTGCAGAAGGGGGTTGGGGACCTGAACTAAGTTATACCACCACTAAATCTCACAGCCCGTGCTGCAACATTAATGAGCTGTGAATAGCAGATAAAAGTTTACTAGAGTTCCAGATATGCATTTTTCATTTTATATCAGGGATCAGGCTCTAAATAGCAGTCAACTATTTGCACAGCCAGGAAGAACTGTGTTAAGTCAGTCTTATAAGAACACCTTCAGAGCCCACAGGGCAGAAATTCTTTTCTCAACCAGCAGGAACGGTTCCTCATTGAATTTAAGCTGCTACTGTTGGACTGTGATAACTGCAGCATGCTCCTGGGAGCACATGCATCAACGTGGCCCTTTCCACACAAGTGTGGCTCTGACAGAAGATTCACTGAACCCCACAGCTTGATCTGCAGCAGAGAGTTGCTTCAAAGATTGCTTTTCTTCTACTGCTTCTGAAGTGCTTCTTCTTTCAGTTGGTTGACAAGCTCTTCAGCATATACTTTAAAGAGCGGGACTGGGTCCTGGAAGAAAGCGGAAGGTAAGCTAGTTGAAAGGACTGAACCTGAGCAGCAGCAAGGTATAAAGTCTAGGAGTGAATAATTATAAGGGGTGGGGGGGGACCCAGGCTGCAACAACCCACACTCAGCACACCTGCATTACTAAACCATGGGGAACGGCCAGAAGCCTGGAGAGTATCTGTTACAGGGGTAGGAAAAATGAGCACCCTTGGGACCTTATGTGTCCTGGTGAGACTCGCAAACATCTTCATTCCACTCAAGACAACAAGAGCCCTTTCCCCTGCACACAGCCAGCCCAGGGAGCCAGTGCTACAGGAGTGCTGACAGGCAAACTCAGAGAGAGAGGGGCCAGGTTGTTTCAGTGGCTGAACAAAGCAGCACGCTGTGCTGCTCCTCCAGATACAGCTGCTGATCAGCCTGTAATTGCAAAGATTATAGGAATCTATAGGAATCTAGGAAACTTTCGTCAGTTTTACCAAGTTCTGCCTGTAGATGAGAATCAGCAATGACTCCCAGTAATCCCTTTCCATCTAAAAAGGCTTGCCTCCCTTCTCACGGTGCAATATATGAGAGCTGTACACACTGGGACAATATACTCGCTTCAAGAAGCTGGAGCACCACATGGTTCAGGTGCTTGGTGCCACCTCATGCAGTTGGTGCTCCTGATCTCTCTGTCCCTGCTGCAGCTGCAACAGGAGCTAAAAGCCTGAGGGGAAGCATCATCAAGAGACCTTGCCTCTGTCAGGAAGGCCTTTTGCCTCAGCAGCTACCTGGCACACACTCCCCTCTGCATTATTGCTTCTCACCAAGTAGTGAGCAGAAGCGACTGAGTCGCAAACTGAGCGAGCCCTAAACTTGCACCCATGCGTCTCAAAACACAAGAAGTGTAACGGAAGGCAACCAAACACAGAGATGGTCATGCAACAGTGGACAAATTATACGCCAACCCCACTAAATATCCCTCCCCCTATTTGGGGGATCTGGCTTTACAACACACTTGAACACAGCCCCTGTTTCACACGCTCAAGTTTAACTGAACTCAACAGGCTGCTCAGGAATTTCAGAGCACTACATCCATTGATAAGGAGTGCTTGGGCAGCACAGAAGACCAACTGGACGTGCAACCTGATGCAGCTAAGACACCGCTGCGTCCATAGGACGAGCACTGTCTCAGAAACTCACCTTTTTTTCTAGAAGCCTCTGTTTTTCTATTGCTTCTTCTAGACTCAGGCCAACCCATTCAGCTTCCTCTTCTGGAATCACAAATTCCTGTGATAAAAGAAGAAACCTGTAGTTTAATCTTTCCTGGTGACTAACATGCAAATCCTCTCTAGGACCGATTCACACAAACACGGGATCAAGTAGGAAGAGGACTACAGCCAAAAGACTTAAACATTGTTCCTTTGCTCATCCCATTTTTGGCAGCCAAAGTTCATTTTTCTCCTCCTCCCCTGGCAAGAGCCTTCTTTTCTCTGATCTTTCATGTGGATTGCTATGCCTCTCTTTTTATAGTTCTGTGGCTGTTTCTCTGCATCACCTCACAGGCTGCGGATGCTAGCCTTGTCTCTATGCTTGTTTCCGCAGCTGCACAAAGTTAAACAACAATCATATAAACGTAATGAGGGCTTCTCACGGCAGTGTCACTAAGAACGCCCCCTACTATGAGGGGTGCCACCTCTTACCAGTGCTCACTGTAGACCTTCAATGACCTGGCTCACACCAAAAAGAGGGGCTTTTGTCTCCCTAAACGATCGGTAGCGAAATCTGCAGCCCACAGAGAAACAACAAAAACCTGACGAGTAACCTTTAGGTCTTCTCCATCCATGCCCTTAAGCCTAAAACCATAAACATGAAGTCTGGCTTGCGCAGCACTGGGACGAATAGGACATGATCAGTCTAGACAATCAGCAAACATCAGCGTACATACCGGAGCAGGAACTGCACGTCAGGTACCCACCCGATACTTATGATAAATTGCTTCTCTTCTGGCAGGGTCGTCAGGATGCAGCTTAGGATCCTTCCGGGCAAGTCTCAGCAGCATTGTTCGCTTCAAATCCATCCCGAGCTTTGAGCACATATCTGCCTTTGGGGTCTGGAGGAACAAAGTCTGATGTTGATAAGTGTTTCTAACACGCTAGCTGCTAGGCAGCTGGGAGCCTTCCAGCACGCGGACAACACAGGCAATCTATCCCCACTGTACAGGCTCTAAGGGGCGAGGGGAAAAGACGGCCTGGGCTTGTCCTGCAGCTAACTTGCTCGCGATTCTGATCTTTAAGGCTGCGCTGCTTAAATCAAGAGCGCGTTAAAGACCAGAAGCTTTAGAGCCGCACTAACGCGCCAAGGGCGGCGCATCCCGCGCTCGGCCAGGGTGGCGCG